ATATATATATATATGTATGTTTTAGCCTTGTGGTTTACTTAGTTTGGATCTTCAAATGGTTGATTGCTGATATGGATGTTGTTGGGTCTGATTTATTTCTTTTAATTTTATTCTTTTAAACCAGTCTGTTCCCTAACCTTACTTTCTCTTCTTGAACAGGACAGAAGAATTATTATTTTGTACCTTTTGTGCATGTGTCAGAGAGGCAAATATGAGCTAAAAGCCTCTTCGAGAGCAAAAAGAAAATTTCTTAATGGACCTTGGCCCATCTTACTGTCAGGACAAGGTTATTTTGTGATGTAGTCCTTGTACTTAAACCTAACCACCCAACCTCTGAAATGCTGAAACTCTGCTGGCAAGCCTTTTTTTGTGGCGCATATTTCTAAACTGTTACGGGCCATGAGATGGTCGCAGTATTTATAATTAGCTGGAAGGAATTCACTCACCTTGAAATGAAGATGGGTAGCTGATGTTAAAAGCTCTATTTACAGTTTGAAGAGACCTGTTCCTATTTACTGCCTTGTATCATTAATTTTTGGGGGTATATTTTAGGGGGAAAAATGGTATGGAAGCTTTGTTTCCTGATTGTCGTGTCAAAAATATTGGTAAAATAAAAATTATATATATATTATATATTTTTTTGGAGGGGGGGGCGTGTGACGATTTAAGATATTGGTAAATATGGACAGAACGATAATTCAGTCTGAAACCGTCATACTGTTTTTTTTAAGTGACCAATATCTGATATCCGTGTATAACATTATTGAACATCGCAAACAGCCCACACGTGCACATTCCAAAATTGCACAAAGAGAATTCTGTAAGTGTCAATGCCGGACTGTGACAAAGCTAAAGTAAACAATTATAAATAAAGCCAATTTATTAAACTTTATCGTTCTGTTGGCCTGGGTTAACTCTTTCACCTGAACATAGGCAAATACAGTGCCTTCCAAATATATTAGAATGCCAAACTCAATTCTGTCTATTTTTTTGTTTCCTGAACACATTTAGCTTCAAATCAAAAGATGAATATGAGGTTCCGAAATACAGTTTTTATTTATCTAGCTGTGTTACCACTTTTTATTTATTTATTTTTAAGCCACCCACTTTTAAAGTGAGCAAAAGTATTGGAATAGATATTAAATTCACTGAAAGTGAAAAACCTTCAATATTTCCTGCCATATCCCTTATTTGTATTATTTACATCAAGCCTGCGCCTAATGGTCCGCCGATCACAATTTTCTGGCCCAGCAGCAATCTTTGATTTTTAAAATGAGTGACCTGCTGGTTCTGATTTACGACCTATCACGATATATATACACTATTGATATTGAACTACTGTCCAGCCCAACTACGGAGCCATAAATTGTAATAATCTCAGTGTAAATTCAGTCAGTGTGCATCCATCCATCCATCCATCCATCCATCCATCTTCTAGCGCTTATCCGGGGTCGGTTCGTGGGGGCAGCAGCTTTAGCAGGGAAGCCCAGACTTCCCTCTCCCTAGCCACTTCGTACAGCTCTCCCCGGGGGATCCCGAGGCGTTCCCAGGCCAGCTGGGTGACATAGTCTCTTCTGCGTGTCCTGGGTCGTCCCCGGGGTCTCCTCCCGGTGGAACATGCCCGGAACATCTCACCAGGGAGGCGTTCAGGAGGCATCCTAATCAGATGTCCGAGCCGCCTTATCTGGCTGCTCTCGATCCAGTCAGTGTGCAGTTCCTTTTCAATTGACATGATCAACTATGTAGAATGATCAGTTAAAATGCTGGACGGGCACGTGTGCACTGCAGATATCAAAGTACACATTCAACTAAAGCGTCTTTGTTATTAATGACAATTTAAATATGATTAGGAAAAAATACGGAGTCAAAAAAGAGATAATTGTGGTTGATTTTTTTTGACCAGTTGTCAATGATAACCACCATCTTTATCCATAGAATAAAGGCGAATGTAACGTTGCAATAGAGGGCACACAAGATAAACAATCGAACGCTTATATTCTTTAAAAGCAGTAAAGAATTACGGCCAGGTCTGGCATGACCGAGTGTGAGTATGCGCTTCGTGATTGATACATTAAAATGACAGAAAAACAGCTTCTAAAATGCATATTCACTTAAGCTTGATTGCAAACTCTGTTGGTGGAAGTGTTGAGCATGACTGCTTATTGGGATTGGCTCCAAGTCACCCCTTATGTACCCATCGGTTCTCATTAGGCCTGCTTTATGCTGGGACTGCTGTTTGTGCTGTTTGCACCTTTCAGAAATAAAACGAAATACGGTGGTATTTCAAAATTTAAAATTAGCCGTCACAATTCATCTTAGGTTTGAAAAATCACATTGCATGTGCTAAATTGTTGTATTTGCATTCATTATGCAAACCCAATACCAAAGAAGTTGGGATGTTGT